CCCGTGTGCTGTGCGCGCTGCGCGTGCTGGGCGGGCCGCAGGGCTGCCCCGCCCCGCCGGCTGCGCGCGCCGCCAGTCTTGCCGCAAGACCGACTGAGCATGCTGGGCCCGCTGCCGGGGCGTGCGTGCTGTCCGGGCCGCTGGGGCTCTTGGGGAGAGTTCAGGGCAGCGCATCGCACCGTCCTTAATTGTCTCCTCTGCTGACGAACCGCGAGCCTATCCGTCTGGTAATCCAACTCTTTGAACGTCTGCAATACCTTACTTGCGGTTGCTCCGATCCTCCGCACAGACCAAAGTGTCCCCAGAGGTGTCCGTGGCGGTGCCGCCCGGCTGCGAGCAGCTGGCGTCGGGCCCCACCCTTGCGGGCCCCGCGGCGGTGGTGCTGTGCCAGCTGCTGGGGGCGCACATCCCCGACATCCTGGTGAGGCGCGGCCGCAGGTTTCGGGGCCGGGGCGGGGCAGTGTGGACGGGGGCACACGACACTGCAATATCTTGTGCGCGTGCTGTGTTGGTGGATCCATACACTACTCTTGCGAGGTTGACTTCCGCACCCCAAGCAGACACCCTCACCCCCAGTCGCTGGCCCCTTGCAGCTCTCCCCCCTGCAAAACCAACGGCACGCCCGCAGTGTACAACAGTCCTAACCCATTCCCTTGGGTCGTCATGCCGAATGAGGTTATCGTCTTGTTCTCATCTTCATCTCATCTGTCATGCCCTTGACCCCCGCAGGACGACACCTTCACCAGCAGCGACCCCTCGGTCTTCAAGGCGTCCTCCGGGGATCTCGCGATCTCCGCCAACGTCCGCACGGCTTCCGGCTGGCTCTTCCCGCTGCCCGGCGCGCTGCTGTTCCTCGGGAAGCCCGCGCACTTCCTGCGCCATTCCGAAATCGCCGGCGTCGAGTTCGCGCGCCTAGGGACGAGCAGCACGTTTGACCTGACGGTGCACGTCCGAGGCGGCGGGCGGGTGGAGTTCGGGCAGGTGGGGCAGGGGGAGGCGCCGCGGCTGCAGGCCTACGTGCAGGAGCGGCGGCTGCCGGTGAGGGTCGCGCACGGCGTCGGGCTGAAGCCGCGTTCATGAGCCGCTTGGGGGCTCGCGCCTTGGCTACGGCGCGGCGGATGGGAGGCAAGGGGGAACGCAACATGTGGGGGCGGGCAGCGGGCAGCAGGGAGCAACCGTTTGGGCGCAAGCCAGCGAGCCGTATTGGTGGCGCTGCTGCTCTGCAGTCCGTGAGCCTGCATGGCTTCACGAGCATGCCACGTCAGGACGCTGCAACCATAATTCCTCACCCCAAGTTTTAGCCCCAACCGCTGCCTCGCATTGTGCGCAACGCAGGTCGGGCCCCCGGACCCCAGCGCCGCTGCCAGGCCCCAGGCAGCCGCCGGCAGCAAGCGGGCGGCGAGCGGCGGCGGCCCCAGCGCAGCCGCGCACGGCGGCACAGCGGCGTACGGGGCGCCGCCGGGCGCCGCGGCGGGGTTGGATGATGAGGGGTCCGATGAAGAGGATTCTGATTTCGACCCTGAGGCGGCAGGTGTGTCGTCGGCATTCTGCAGGGTGTGGTGTCTCACACCAACCCAGGCACGATGCTGTTGCCTAGCATCCCCTGCTGCCTGAAGCTGTGCAAATTCAACGGTAAAGTGCGGTTTTTTCTTTTGCAGAACAGCTGGTCTGCAGCGACAATGCTATGTCAATGTGATCTAATCACCCCTGCCGCCTGCGTCCGCAGACGCAGCCGAGCAGCCGCACGGCGGCAAGCGGCAGCGCACGGGCAGCGCGGGCGCTGGTACGAGCGGGGCAGGCGAGGAGGGGGAGGAGCTAGGCAGCGATGACAGCGATGAGGAGGACGCGGAGGAGGACGGTGAGTTGATGGCTGTGCAAAGGCCATTTTTTCTGGCCTTGTGCATCGGAGGAATTTTGTATGGGTTACGGCGAGGCGTGGTCGAGTCAAGGTGCAATGTGCGCAGCAGACACCAGGTTCTGGGCTGAGCTGTCACCCACCACGATCCAGTCCCCGCACGACCAGCTGGCACTGTCACCCAGGTTCTGGCCAGCATCTCCCTAATGGTGATCCCGCCATTTGTTCGCCCGTTGTACAAGCAGATGACGAGGATGATGACTCATCGGACGTGTCGCTGGTGGCCACCGATGACATGAGCGATGGCGACGGTGGCGAAGAGGACGACTGACTGAGCTGTGTGGTCGGGCCGCCGGCTGCTGCGTGCCTCTCGCCTCGCCTCGTCTCGCTGGGCAAAACGCACCCCGCACCCTGGTGGCGGGCGTGACTGACAGGCTTGTAAATGTGCAAGTCCCGGTCCAACAAGGGGGATGTGATGGGGTGGTCTCTGCTCGGGGGTTGCCTGCGTAATGCATCTTCCACGGGCTGGCCAAACTGGAGCAGAGACCTGGCACATCACGGCTGCAAAGATGTTGCCCTTCCCTCCTCGCTTTGTTTTGAACAGGAGTTCCTCCTGCCTTGCGCTGGCCCTGAACGTGCAGTGCTGGCGTTTGGCAGTGTGCTGCACGTGCAACCTGCCCACAGCGTTCTGCGGGGTAGCCAGAAAATCACTTGGGCCGCCAATCAACTTCCGCACGCCGCGCCGGAAAGCGGGAATGCAGACTTTCACAAAGATTTACATATACTTACACATACGATCAGACAGACCTGCAGCAGACACGCCGACTGGGGGTTATTGATGTACCTCAAGAACGGCACAAACCAAGCCCCCCTGACAAGTCAAGTCAGGACCCGGGCAACATAACGAACGGAGGAGAATGACATCATCACAGCTTGTACAGGCCGGAGTACTTGGACTTGAGGTGTCCCAGGAAGACGGAGGGCGTGAGGGGCGCCCCCGTGACTGCAGTCATGAGGTCGTCCCCGCTCGCGTCCAGGGAGCCCCGCTCGTGGATGTTCTTGTTCAGCCACTCCTGATGGTGGTGGTGGTGTGTGTGGTGGTGGTGTGTGTGGTGGGGGCTCGTTGGTGCGTGTGCAGATGCGTGCACATCAGAACACAGGAGAAAGGAGTCAAGAGGAGGCTGGAACAAGGGGGAGAGAAGAAGGAAGGAGGGGAGGGGTAGACGAAGAGAGGCAGAGGAGAAAGAAGAGAGGGTACGAGCCCGCAGCACACTCAGTTTGCCAGGCACCCAGCCAGTCTGCATCCCATTCCCTTGCACAGCCGGCTGTCAGGCAGCTGCGGCTGAGACGCGCACCCGCAGCGGCTTGAACTCCCCCGCCTCGATCTTGGCCTCCAGATCTGGGATCTGGCCGGCCGCGTGGCGGTAGATCTGAGTCGCGTACATGGCTCCCAGAAGGTAGGTAGGGAAGTAGCCAAACACTGCATTGTTGCGCATGGAAGCAATTGATAAGGGAAGGGACGCGATTCAGATCATTTCAGGAGGGCGGCACAACAGGCGAGCAGGCCTTGCGACCTGGTTGCTGGAGCAGCCTTGACGGGGGGCAAACTTCCAGCCCAAACAGCCACTGGATCAGCAGAAAAAGCGAGCGAGGGACAAAAAAGCGCCCCTTGCTGGGCTCTGACAGGGGCTGGGGGGCTGCTCACGTCCGGCGCTCCAGTGGACGTCCTGCAGGCAGCCCTGGGCGTCGTTCTCCGGGGTGACCCCCAGGTACTGCTGCATCTTCTCGTTCCACACCCGCGGCACCTGGTGAAGTCATCACGCAGTGCATTTTGTTCAGGGTAGGCTTGTGGCAGTGCCAGCGGAATCGCAGGGCGGGCAGAGTTTTGAAAGGCGATCAAGAGGTTTAGGGGCCGGCACCGAGTGGCCGAATGAACAATGCAAGGCTGTGTTCGGCGTCTGTGTTTGCACAACGTGATGCCGCAATATGGTGCTGTTTGAAGATGATGGACATCTGGTACTTTGTGAAGCTGGTTGATGCAGGCCACATACACAGGGCCCATGCACAGCTAGCTCACGTCCTCGACCTTGAGCTCCCCGCTGATGAGGGCGCGCTCCATCTCGTACCGCAGCACGATGTGCATGCCGTACGTCACCTGGTGACGGGCAGGTGGTCACACAGAGTGACGGCATTTCCATAGGCTGAGCACATACAGTGCAGCAGCAAAACACACACGAAAAGCAAGCAACGGTCACGGCCCACGCATCAGGGTTTGTTTCTTTCCATTAGCCTCATGAACCAGCCTGACACTGCAGCAACAGCATGCTGCAATTGAAGTGGTGTGACACCAGGATGTCGTGGGTGTAACCTAGGGATGGCTGCTCACCTCGTCAGCCTCTACGCGGATGAACGAGGGGTCCTTGATAACGTTGATGGCCGCGTACAGGTCCGACGCGGGGCGCTCCGGGAACGCCGGGAAGTGCTTGCGGATCTGCGGCCGCGGCGTTGGACGGGGTTGAGGGTTTTGCCATCAGGGTTTGATTGGTCGCTGCTGCGGGTGGTGAAGCGGTGGGCCTGAGTGACAGCAGAATATATTCAATTGTACGTTGATAAGCAGGGCCAAACGCGCCACAAGACACTGCCCTGGGGGATGGATACCAGTAGTCGGCGCTCTGTTTAGGGAGTTCCATGTGCCCCGCCGCACCTTGCCGGCGGTCATGTACTTGCAGAAGGGCAGCCCCAGGGCCACCATGCGCTCCCAGAAGAGGCTCTGGCTCTCATGGATGCCCATGCTCAGGGCCTGAGGGGTGGTTGGGACAAGTTTGGGGCGGAGCAGCACACTGGCCATGTGTCGAAGAGAGCACATTGGTGCGGCATGCCAGCGTTTGGTGGCGGCTATTTCTTGGCCCTGCTGATGGCAGGAGAATTTCTTGGGGTGGGGGCAGTGTCCGGTCGCCCCAACCCCCATCCCCGGCGTAGGCAATCAGCGACGTCCGCAGCCTGGCATGGTACTCAAACGCTACCAGCCGAACGAGATTGCCCGGTCTGGCAGGAAAAGCATGGTCTTTCTAGCAACGTGAGGGCCCTGCCCACCGAGTTGACCGGCAGGTCCCGCCACTCGGAGGACAGGTTGCGGCCCTGCTCGTACAGCGCATGGCCGGTCTCGTGCACGGCGCCTGGCGCGCAGAGCGGGTTGGACGCGTGCAACGGGCAGGTTTAACGCTTCAAGGGTGGGTGCCCTGTTTGCAGGGAGCTCATAAAGCACGTCGGCTCAAGAGCGCTGCGCGGGCAACCACACAGGTTGCAAGCCCGCCGGACGAGCAGTAGCATCCAGACAAGGCTCGACCGTCATACCACCTCATGACCACCCAGCCAGGCACAGGAAAACCGCCATCCCAGCACAGCCAGGCTCACCCGTGAGGCCCTCTGTGAGGTCATGCGTCTTGAAGCGCGTGGTCATGCGCACGTCGGTAGGGTGGGCGCCGCCGGTGAAGGGGTGCACCGACACGTCGAGCCGGCCGTTGTCCAGGTCAAAGCCTGGGTGTAGTCAGGGTGTGAAGTTTTTGGTGAAGTTTCCGGCGATGCCCCGGGGGGTGGGGTGGAGAGGGGTGCGGACGAATGGGTGCAAAGGTCAGGCCACGGGTCTCTGAGCAGGAGACAAAAAACTGAGGTGTCATCTCATGGTTGAAGAGACAGTCGGTCCAGTCACAGCCCAGCTTGTAACGTGAGCCTCTGTCAAGGCTTGTAATTCAGAAAGTGCGACATGCGGGTCGCTCCCAAAGGATGCCTCACCCATGTCAAGTGCGATCTCTTGGCAGAGGGCGGCCTGATCCTTGGTGTCGTAGTCACCCGCGAGCCAATTGTCATCTGTTGGCGCAGCCAGGCAATGGGGCCAAAGTGATCAGGTAATCACGGCTTGAAAAGGTAGTCAGCAAAAAATGGCGAAATCACAAGGGCCGACGGGCAGCAGCATGCACTTGCTCAGGCAAGTGTTTTCTATAAGGGGCAGGGTGAGGGCATGCACAGCAAACACGTACACCGGGACGTTGGGGGGTGCTGTCATCCCCCAGCCCACGCACCAGGCGCCTGGCCGTTGCTCTTCAGGTCCGCGATGAGGGGCACCAGGCCGCCACGCACCTGGGGGGCGGGGGCGGGGTAAGAGGTGCATCTCCTAGAGGCAGGTGGGGGTATTGCTGTGCGTCTCACAGCAAAATTGCATCCATGAAACATTGCTGCATGCATCGCACATACACAGCCCTGTAACTGTGTGCATGTGCATGTGAGCTTTCCCACGCACTAACACACGCATGCACACACAGGTGCATGCCAGCGTATACAAAACAAGCACACCCCACCTCCTCAAAAATCTCATCCAGCCGCGCCGCCGTCATGCCTGCGTACACATGAGCGGCGGGTGCAGGTCGGGGCAGGCACGGCCGCTGGTCAGTCAACGCACACATTCAAACCGCAGGCTGCTCCAATCTTAGGCGACTGACCTGCCCACACACCACCCTCTCCCCATCCCGCTTACCCACATCCCACGACCCTCTCATACACATCCCGGTCCCCTTCCCCCACTCTTTCCTACAGTCACACACACACACATACACACACACATGGACGTGCACACACACACACACACACACACACACACATGGACGTGCACACACACACACACACACACACACACACACGCGCACACGCACACACACACGGCCAAACCCAAACCAGCCGACACATCACGATCATCTCTCAACCCTAAACCCCTGAAACCCCCCACCCACCCTTCTCATAATCATCCAGCAGGACATCATAGGGGTCCTTGGAGGGGTCAATCAGGGCTGCCTGAGGCCACAGGGCAGGGGGAAGGCCTCAGAGGGGCCTGGTTTGAGGGCTGCTGCGAGAAAAGTCACAGAGGGCGTGGGGCCACGAGCAGGGCCCGTCTGGCCCCCTCTAGAGAAGCCGGCCAAGTTGGCCCTGGCAATCACACCCGGGTGCACACCAATTCGGCCAGATGCCGATAAGCTAGGCCTTCTCAAGCTATTCACACACACCTGCCATTGCAGGTCTGAGGGCTGTGACTCAACTCTCTGTCTGAACCTTGCGACACATGAATCGAAACCATCTGCCTCCCACAACCCCAGGCAACTGTCGACCCACCGCCTCGCGCCGCACGTCCACCCACTGCTGCAGAAACGGCGCAAACTTCGAAAAGTCCGACGCCTTGCGCGCCTCAACCCAGGCCTGCGGCATGGGTTTGTGCAAAGGGGTGCGTATGTGTATGTGTGTGTACATATGCATGAGCATGAGTGTGTGTGTGTGTGTGTGTGTGTGTGTGTGTGTGTGTGTGTGTGTGTGTGTG